CACACACACACACACACACACACACACACACACACACACACACACACAGACAGACAGACAGACAGACAGAGGAGTGATAAATAACTATACTCACACAGCTCCTCTCGGTCGAAGGTTTGGGCGTTGCCACCAAAAAAGCCCTTGAGAAAGCCACGGTTCTGAGCCTCAGGGGTCTCGATGGGTGTAAAGAGCTCCCCTAACATCTCCTACAATTAATGAAGAATAGTGAATCAAAGTGTTAAATAGACAAAATCGTATTGAATGTTGGAATGAAAGAGATAGCAGGACAGTCGATTCAAAACTCCACCAGTAGATGTCGGTATAGTTACACATTTCACAATGTAAAATGGAAAGTTTTGACAAGACATAACCTCTCTCTTGCTCTTGTTTGTTTGACAGAGACAGTTATAAAGAAAGAGGCTATGTTTGAAATGAAATACTAGTATGCTCACAGCATACTGTACAGTATGCATTAAATATGGCCTACTTTAAATGATGGTATGTTAAGCAAAATGCACTACGCAATAATAAATCAAACAGTAGTATGCCACATTGCTGTGTGTGGAAGAGAGCAAGTAGCCTTCATTTCGTCAGTCACCTTTGGGATTTTTTTTCTTTTGAATTCACCTTGGATTATTTTAATAAAATAACATGGTAGGAATTTGTCAAACTGAAAATAAATGATCAAGTCAGTAACATTGCATTGTGAGATGCATACACTAACATTAAACAATTTGGGGACTGTAAAATCTTTAAATTATTATTTAAAGAAAGAAATAATTGAATTATTTTATTTATCCACATATTAAAATTATCAAAAGTGTAAGTAAAACATTTATAATCATACAAAACATTTTTCAAATAAATGCTGTTCTTTTGAACTTTATATTCATCAAAGTATCCTGAAAAAAAATTGATCACAGTTTCTACAAAAATATCAAGCAGCACAGCTGTTTCAACTTTGATATTAATAAGAAATATTTCTGAGCACCAAATCAACATATTAGAATGATTTAAAGAACGATCAACATATTAGGATCATGTGACATTAAAGTCTAGACTAAAGAGACTGAAAAGTAATGGCTGCTGAAAAGTCAGTTTTGCCATCACAGAAATAAATTACATTAAAATAGTAAATAGGTATATTAAATTGTAATAATATATCACAATATTACATATTTTACTGTATTTTCAATGTAATAAATGCAGCGGAGGTGAGCACAAGAGAATTGAAACACTGAAAAAAAAAAATTTAAATTCTACCAACCCCAAACTTTTGAACAGTGACACATGTTTCAGTTCGGATGCATACAAAAAAAATTAGCATACTGTGCACATGGTACATACTGCATACTGCAAAAATAGAATGAATAGTATGGCATTATGCTATTCCCATCCTAACCAGACAGAGAGGGAACGACAGAGGGAGGGAAAGGACAGAATGACAACCTGTGTGGCAGAAATTACAGCCGAGATGCAGCAGGGCTCAGCTCAGCAGAGCTCAAAGCATCCATTACAAGCATGACATTTCACTTCAATAACCACCATCAGCAAGCGCACACGCACACGCACACACACACACACACACACATACACATACCACACACCACACACACACACAAATGTCTTTCTGAACACACACACACAGAGGCACAGCCACCTGTAGGTTGTCACATATCTCCTGGCTGTAAGTGATTCTCTGTATCTCTGTGGGGGAGCACAGATACAGCGCCTGCCCTCCGTTGGTGAAGCAGAATGTTCTAGCAATGCGCATGTCCGTTAGCGGCAGGTAGCTGACATCTAGCAGAGGCCGTAAACTGGGAAGGCTGTAAAACATACACACATATAAGATAACAGGCTTAGCAACTGCATTCCAATATCCTTTATATCGGAAATGACAGTGTAAACACTAATTTATAGTGAAGAATGAAGAAATTCACGCCTAAAATATTACACCACGCTGAAGGCAGGATTTAGAACGAAGCCAACAAAAGCACAGCTCAGCTCTTCTGACTAGAGGTTTAGAGTTTATTGAAAGATTGAACTGGTTTCTGTAATCTGGATTAAGCTAAAAATCGATACCAAAAAGGTTCTGAGCTGGTATTAAAGGAATGTTCCAGGCTAAATATAAGTTAATCTCTATTGACAGAACCTGTCAAATTCTGTCGATTGCCACAGACACCTCAGTTTACTCATCAAGCAAACGTGTTTACAGTAATACATTTCAAATGGAAGTCTAAGGTGTTCTGGAGGGTTTAAAAGCTCACATCTCTTGCTAATGCACTTATATTATTCGGTACAGAAAAGTGTGAATGAATTAGAACAGTCTGCATTTTTGCTGTATAGATTTTAGGAATAGACCCTTTTCCAGGGTTTACTGGTTTTACATGGTCATAACTGGGATGAAAACTTGGAAATAAAAATAATAATAATAATACATTCATTTACATTTTTTTCTATAATTAAAAAATATATATATTCTATATTTTCCCCCTTTCATGCCACAAAGATGATCAACAGAGCTTAAGTTCTGTTCAGTTAATAATTCTGTTAATTATTACAGGCATGTTCCTACATTGTTTTAGTTTGTAATAATAATAATAATAAATTATTTTTTGCATTTTTTTCTATAATTAAAAAAAAAAAAAAAATTCTACATTTTCCCCCTTTTATGCCACAAAGACAATCAATAGAGCTTAAGTTCTGTTTAGTTAATAATTCTGTTAATTACCACAGGCATTTTTTACCTGTCCCTCAGTTTGTGAAATCAACAACAACAACAACAACAATAATAATAATAATAATAATAATATAGCTTTTAATTGATATGCTCCTATTTTATTTTAGTTTTTAATAATAATAATAATAATAATAATAATATTTAATTTATAATATTACCGTAATAATAATCCTTTATATTTAATGTTTTAATGTCAGTAAATGATCACCAGTTTAGATATTAGAAATGTAAATTTTCCCTGAGGGACTAGAACCAGCAACCTTCTGGTTACAAGCCCTGAGCTCTCTACAGTTTCCCATTTGAAAACAAACAAAAAAGTCAATGCAAACCTCAAAGTCATTATGTGTCCATTGGCGCAGAAGCAGGCCAGACAAACGCTGTTACAAACCGACACCACGTCAGCCCGCAGCACGAAGGACGACTCAGTGATGTTATGCACATATAGACAGGCCTGGGAGGGCATGAAGAAGACCTTGGCCTGCCTCTCTGAACACACTACAGCTAAGTGACCATCTCCACTGGCCTCTTGAGAAGACGAGGACGAGAAGTTGACCAGTTTCCGCTTGCGGGGTCGATCTGGGTCATCGGGGGCATGTTGATCCCGCCACACCTCGTAGGGACTGTTGATAAGAGCACCTCCACAGTCCAGAAAAGCAAACCGCAGAACGGATCCCTTCAGCATTAACACTGTGCCTGAGAGGAAAAACCAGAGAGAGAACAAAAACATAAGGATAGGAACATTGCATTCAGGGGCATTCACGAATTAGAAAAGGAAGAAATCAAGAGATACCAGTGGGGGCCACAGTAACGGGGTCTTCCTGGCGTTCCTGCTCATCCGTAGGAATGGACATTGGGATGATAAGCACCAGGCCCAGACTCGTGCCCACCCACAAGCATGGCGTAGGCAGGGTGTCTGACTTACATCCGTATGACTCTACAAACTGCAGGGTGGTTACGGCCTCTTTAGTCTCTCTGTCTATGCTGGAAACGCTAGAGCTCCGTGACCGGCTGAACGAGTTTTCTCGACTCTCTGAGAAAGAATGGAGAAGGGGAGAGAGAAAGAGAGGGTGGGGGAGAAGAGAAATGTCAAGAATATAGATAGAGGGCAGACGGATGAGTAGTAAAAGATAAAGAATAGCAGAGAGTGAAAAGATAACAGAAAAAGATGGTAGAAGAATCCTTATGCTGTTAAAAAGTGGAGTCACTCCATATGTGCGATCACAATAACATTTAAACCACATCAACCAGAATCCAAGTAATAAAGAGGTACAAATGTGCAATTGCAAACAGAACTCTATTATTTTTTAGATTTGTTATTGAAAAGGTAAAAACATTAAATAATGTACGTACAGGACAGGGTGGCACATACATAACGAGTGAACACATCTTAAAATTCTCCTGTTCACATCATCAAATGTGTCACAGATTTCATTCACATGCACAGAGGACACACAGAACACACTCTCACAATTTCAAATCCATTCATCACCTTTACTGTCCTTTTGACCTTGAAATGCTTCCAGGTTCATATCCACTGCATATTCATATAGCCAGGCCTACACAGAAAAATGTTTCTGGACTTGCCTGATTTGTGCTTCATTCGATTATTTAAACTCTCTCTCTCCCGCTTATCTTAATCTGAAGGATGTCATGAAAAAAACAAAAAAAAAAACAAGCAAAAATAGCAAGATTTTTGTTGCAATACAATATGTATTTTGATAATATATGATTGGTTGTTGTAATTGTCATGTCTCATTTGACATTCATTATCAATGTACTATGTCACGCATTACAAGGAAACAAAAATTCTATATTAGAATTTGAGTAGTGTTTTCCATTGAGAATCCTGTTTATCCTGCAGAACAAAAGTGTACTGCATTCTCATAACATAACCCCATTATAAGAAACACTGACAGACATTTGTCATAATGTCAGAACATGGGTTTGTGTGTGTAGTGATGAAAGGAAAGTAATTTGTGGAGAGAATACCAAATGTTTGTAGGTACATCAAAAAAGCTGTGGGTTTCTAAAGTGTCAGTTACAATATTTTATAATATGCCACATTACATATCATAATGACCTCTATAATTTATTATTACTTAAATACTAAACTTCTGCTTCTGGGTCATTCTCAGGAAACAGTGTTGTGTGCTACATGTGTTCCCATGATATTCAAACATATGGGTAAATTAATTAACATGGTACTGCACCCAATAACATTATATAATAGATGTATCTCTTTAATGTCTAAGTAAATAAATAAATGTATTTATAATGCATTTATAAAAAATATATATATAGTGATTAATTTTCACACAAAACAGGAAAACTGACTTTAAATTATGTGCTTGCTAAGAACATTATTAATAATAATTGCATTTAAATTTCCCGCATTTAGCCTCAAAACATCTTTAAAGGTCAGCAAAAACATTTTTTAAAATGGTAAGAAATTCAAATTGTAAGAAAACATGAATGGTTTGAAGTAATGTAGCATTTTTGTCATACCCCATTGGACTTTTGTTGTGTTTTCTTCCCCCATGTGCTCTGTGTGACCTAGTTTTTCCTCATGTTTGATTGTGTCATTCAGTTCACCTGTGTCTTGTTAATTATCCTCGTTTTCCTGTGTATTTAGTTCTAGTCTGTCCTGTGTTCCCTCGTCCAGTGTTAAAGTTGAGTTGTGCGTGTTACCTGCCTGCCTTCTGTGGATACCTTCTGTGTGGATTAATTAAAAACTGTTTACGTTCATCTTCTTCTTCGTGCGCTCATTATACACCGCACCCCTGACAATTTTACATTACTGTTCAAATATTTTGGCTTAGTAAGTTTTAAGAAATTAATACTTTTATTCAATAAAGATATTTAAATTGATCAAGAGTGAAAGGTCTATTTCAAATAAATGGAAAATGGTTATATTTCACACAGTATTACAGATATTATTGTATTTTTGATCAAATAAATGCTTACCGACCCAAAACTTATAATCGGTAGTGTATTTAGGGTCTTGGCATTGAATTAATAAATGAACAAACAAATTAATTTATTTTCTTGCACAAATGGCACGGTTTCTTGAGAATGACTCTCCTATGGCCCAGAGAAGGTCGTCTTTCTTTTCCTGGTGAAGGTACATGAAACACATAAAACCATCAACATGGTCATGATAGCACACCTTACTATTTTCTGTGTACACTATCCCCCAGTTTGAATCCTAACCATCAAAGACCTCACAACATTCACCTCTACATTGATGACAACAATAATGATTGATAATACTGACAGAATCATCAGACCTCCCTTAGACATTGACATACAGAAAGTATTTTCCTGAAACAGGTTAAGCCTCGCCTTGGACGGATAAGTTTTTTGTAGTCCAGGACTAGATGTAATCTGTGTCTCGGAGATGTCACAGTGCGTGGGATGGACAGACGACTACAAGCCGACAACACTGCAGATTGACAGAGGCTGGTGTGAAACACAAAGCAGACATCATTGTAATATTCAGCTGCTAGCAACTAAGGTGTAAATCCAAACCTGAAGATGAAGAGCAAGGTGAGACTTTGAACATCATTCAACGTGACGAGAGAGGGGTTCTGACCAAGCAACTATGAGCCACAGGACGGGACAGAGCGAGACGTGACGCTACAGGGCGAGTGGTCCTTGTGACCCTCAAAAAGCCCCTCCTTACCTCTCTCGCTCCAGGAGTAGGTGGTGATGTGATGCTCATCATGAGAGTACATACTGACTCCGTGTAACTGCTGCAGCATGGCTCGTCGGGACGGATAACCTATCCATCAAACGCACACACACACGACACCCCAACGGCCACAGTCACACACACGTAAATACAACCATACGCGACCACGACATACAAAATGACACAAATGTCAGACGTATACCAAAACACCAAAAATACATGACCAGAACATCACGGTGTACAGAGAGTGACAGAAAAAGAGAGAAAGAGAAAACCGATTAACCAATATGCCAGAAAGAAAGAAAAAAGGGTCCTGACAGGTCGATATTTTTTCGAATACCTGCCCACAACATTTCAGTATATTAGATAGCCAAAAAAAAAAACCTAAATAAAATTAAAATTAAAACCGTCGACAGAATGAAATCCTTTCTGGGCTGTGATGTGTGTGTGTGTCTGTGATCACAATAATTAATGGGACAATTCACTCAAAATTGAGATTTCTGTCATCATTTACTCACACTCATGTCGGTCAAAACTAGGGATGCACCGATACCGATACTGGTATCGGTATCGGAAATTATCTAACATTATCAAGATGAATTTGTTCTGACACAGTTTAACTCTGAGTTCTTGTCATATTTTATTACCATTTTCTAAACTATAGCGAATAAACTGTGATAATGTGAGAAATGTTGAAGGTGTCTGAATAAATTTTGGTTTGACTGTATCTATTTGATAAATGAAGTTAACCAACTAACATTATACATACCCTTTTGGTTTCTGTACACAATATTTAAAAAATGTACAAATGCAATAAAAATATCAGTATCGGTACTCGGTATCGGCAAGTACCAAAAATAAAAGTATCGGTATCGGGTGAGTACTGGAAAAAGTGGTATCGGTGCATCCCTAGTCCAAACCTATAATACTGGCTTCAAAATGTTCAAAAACTTGTTAAATGGTGTATTAATAATGGGAAGATCAGATAATTTTAGGATCTTTGAATCTTGTTCAGCAAAATGAACAAATCTTTATTCAAGTCATTTCATTCATATGAACAGAGTTATTAAAAATAATTAAAATGTTACATTTCCAGTAGCCAAATTTCTCCAACACGTCTACTTGCGTCAACTTTCACCATATTCCAAATGAGAAAATCATGATAATACCAGCCAAGACAAATTATGATAAATGATTAATGATTAAATTACTACTCAATTGTGTCTTCTTGTCTGAGTTGTTCATATGCTGGGAGCTTGTTTCCTCTAGCCTGTTGCCCTAAAGCAGAACCTAAAATATAACAGTCACAGTAAAATATCGTTGTCAACCATGTAATAATTTCTGTTACCTTTACATAGCCTATGCAGCTTTCATGTCACAAAAGAATGAATGTCTATAAGACCAGAAGGCTCGAGAGGTGAACAAAACATTTGTTTCCTTCTGTTTACCATAAAAAAGCCTATCAAAATGAATGAATAGCTCATGGGAGACCAATCACTTTAGCATATAATATGAGATATATGAATACTTTTATGGTATAGAGATTTGTTGACTTTTTTTGGACATTTCTAGTCACTGTGTGTTTTCACAAAAAGCAGCATGAACATTCTTCAAGATATATATTTTTATGTTCCACAGAACATATAAAGTCTAATGGGTTTAGAACGACATGAAGGTGAGTAAATAATAACAGAATTTTCATTTTTGGGTGAACTATCTCATTAACACTGACCAAGACGGGACTCTGAGGTCTCACAGCATTCATTTCCCAAGCAATATAACACAAAGCAAACTGAACACAAACCCACAAATCCACTCTCACACAGTGCAAAATGGTCACGCATAAAATCACATATAGGTTTGTTTGAAGACACGCACATTGACCTTTCTAACAACGGCACCTGTATCTGCGGGAACTGTGAACATAATTAGTCGTATCCATCCTGTTAGCCTGTTAGTGTGAATATTTCATGATATAGATGTCTGAGAGAACTGATCTGCTCGCTCGTTCACACTCTCTCTGGGACTCTTTTGCTGAGGTCACTGACTGTCAATCACTGCAGGGGAGCCAAATTACACACCTGTTATTAGAAACAGCAACAACGCCCTCTCTCTGTGGGACAGGCAAACGATTCTGAGGAAATTCATTTTATCTGTCTGTTGTGGGTCCCTCAGTGATTCACTTTTCTGATCCTCTGTGTTTATAGTTTGTGTACACACATAAACGTTGCTTAGTCTTATAGACCTTAGTCAGCACCATATTTAATTTCTGACAGCAATGAAAACAAGGCTGTGATTTATAGAAGTACAGGTTCAATGTTCAATGGATTGTGCTGTTGTTTACCAGCTTACCAATTGTTCAGCTGACAATACATCTTTCAAAATGTCTTCCAGTAGACAAAAACTCCATAAAACTGTTTGAAAATTATTAAACTGTTATGAAAATTTCATTTAATCTAGGACCTTTATACAGTGCATGCCATTGTAAACACTTTAGTCTATCTCTCACTACCTTGTTTTTAACCATGTAAAATTGAATATGGCGTCTAACTTTTTCTTTTAACAAGTTAACAAATGATTCTTGTTAAACTAATCAAATGAGTGTGTGACTGAATGATTGACTCACAAAAAGATGCCCACTTATCGCCACATACTGTACTTCTGTTATGATGTAACCTGCAGAAAATGCTCTAAATGAATCAGTGAATGATTCTTTTTGGTAAATGGGATGTGACTCAGTAGATTTTAATGGGATAATGGGATGTCAAGGAGACAATGGGCTGATTGAAAGTCCCATTCACTACCACTTATTCATTGATTTGTAACAAATGTCTGTAACTGTCCTTATTTTGCTTAAATCAAGTATGTGCATGTGTCTTTCCATCCTTAATGCTCTTTATATGAGATACGTATCCCAACTACCCGCAGCTCTCTCTTCCTGTAGCGTGTCTCATTAGCGGCGGCCTGGCTCTCTTCGCAGCTAATTGACCTTTAATTATCCTAGCGACCCCACTGCGGCACCACATGCATGTTACTGTAGCGATAGGGACGCACGCCACGCGTTGAGACCAAAGAAGCAGTAGGCAGTCCTCTAACGGACAATAACACTTTTCCAAGTGTGGAGAAAAAAATGGGCCTGTCTATATCTAGACAGACGTGGATCTATTTGAATATCGCAATATTATTCAATTAAAAAATTTCAAGCTGAGTCTGTGCAGAAGAGTTTCAGAGATGACTATTGCGCTTTCAAAACTGCCCAGGTGGAAATAAAAAAGAAAGAAAAAGGGGTGATGGGAAGACGTACTATTTTTGTACTATTTTTTCTCAAAAATGAAATCAAATAGAGATTATTAGGTTAAGGCAATATCAGTGCACAGCACGTCATTCTGGGAACCATCCAGTCACTGTGAAAACCTTATGAACTCTGTGACACAATTTGTACGTTGCTGTTCGACTTGGGCTGGTTGTCCTGGTTGGCGTCCTTCACGTAAACAGGATTATGGACACAGATGATGGCACAGGGGGAGACACTGCCTATCGCTGCGATCGGATTAGTGAATGATAGGAAGTCGGTGCCCAAGCGAGGATATGATCTAAGTGATGCGTTACCGCTGTACAGATCACGCTAATATGAACAAGACATCTGCTTTTGGGACATATATGACTGACAAGGACAAAGAATTGACATGAGATAAAGACATACAGAAGTCACGTTTGCTGTGTGCAAGCCCACGATAACAGTTAAAGGAGTCATACCACATACATAATGAACCTAAATATAATAATAATAATAATATTTTTTTATTCTGAGGTTCAAGGATATGAGAAGCAGCAGGCAGAGAAAGATGAGAAAGGGATACATTTGTTTTTTCCTGATATGACCTCTTTAAAGCAGGGCTCTTGTAACACACACTCACACACTCCCACATTTAAATATGGAAGTGATATGAAGAAACACTTGAACATACACACATATTCTGATTATGTGTTTTGTAGAAATGTGTTGTGTTGATAGTGATTGGATTGTCCATGTATTTCATTTTGGTAAATTCCCTTCTAGTGATCCAGATGAAACAGCTGCAATTTCATTTCATATTATGAAAGATGCTCGAAGAGAAATAAGTCCACAACCATAATCGTTGTGTAAACACCAACCTAAACTTGCGAAGAGACTGCCAACATAATTTTTTTTTTTCATCAACCCACCTGTCAAATGACTACCTCAGGTGTAGAGGTAGTAATTAAAAGCATTAAAAACAAAAAGTATAATTAGGCTCACAGCGGTGTCTGCCTCAGCCTCCATGTTTGAAGCACAAATACGGTCTCAAACATAAAAGGGACAGAAGATCCCCAAAGCTTGAAAAGCAGAGTCGTTTTTGTGAGTCACACTTTGAAAGGTTTGTGCCGTTTCTTCTTCTTTTCGTTTTACTTTCGATGACTTTTGAAATGCTGGTTAATAAAATAACACACTTATTTCATCAACGTTTATCCCATTCATCCTAATACTGACTTTAATCAGGATAGATGGGATTTAAGTTTAATTAAAGTTTATAACACAAACCTATTATGAGATCACAAAAACGTTCCACCAAAATTTCAGCAAAAATGCAGTATGGTAATTGGTGCATAAGAAACTCTGTTACCCCTTTTCCACCAACAAGGTGCCAGTGCCAGAGCCCAATCTGGTCCTGTTTTGATATAAATACATGGACATTAATTGTAAATACAAACCTATATGACTTAATCTTTTCCCTGAAACACATAAAGGAAATGTTAGGAAGAATTACTGCAGTCACCACTGTAGCAGCACACACCTAATGTTGTGACAAAATTCACCTACTGTGCTTAACTTGCATGTTGAGGTTGTTTCCCTTTTAAGAATGTTATGCTTGCATTTTGGTTGGAGAGCTTTAAGGTGATTCAGTCGGTTCATGGCTTTTCATTCAATTAAACACACAAATACCTAGATGTGGTGACCCCAACGTGCAAAATGTTTCTCCGCCTGGGCGACCCATGCTGCAGCTTGCTGTTCCTAAAACTCTGGTATCTCGAGAGTGACTAAATTGGCAATCACTAGTCAAACCACAACAACAACAAAAAAATATTTGGAGATGTCCAAGAGCATCAGGGTCAGCACATGTAGGTGTTAATGCAAACACAAGCAACATGGAAATTGGATGAAAAGCAGAGAACCGGTTAAACCACTTTAATGGACTCCGACCAAAAAGCAAAAGTACATCTCTTAAAGGGGAAACAACCTCATCCCACAACTTAACATTCTTAAAGGGGTATGAAACCTCACAAGCACAGTATGTGAATTCTGTCACGTCTTGAGTATATGTCGCTACACTATAGTGAATTTTACTGCATGGAAAAATGGTGCAATTAAATTAAATAGTGACTGAGGCAGTCAGTCATCTCCTTTAAGTTTCCCCAGAGGAAAGTCAATTGGGTTTGGAGCAATATGAGGCTGAGTAAATGATGATAGAATTTTAATTTTTGAGGGTACTATCCCTTTAAAACCAAGAAAAAAGACCATGATGTACCATATTTGTTTGTGGGCAGTTATAGCATTGTTCGGCTCTCAAATGTGGCTCTGGCGGTGCTGGAAGAGGTCCACAGATCCCCTGGTCGAGCACCGGCTCAGTGGAAAAGGGATATGCATCCTGTGTGGCATGACAGGGGTTTAGTAATCACCAATCTCTCCAAAAGAGTGGAAAACAAAACAATAAAACCAAAGAAAAGGCAGTGAAATCAGTGTCAGAAAACATAGCAATAAAACCCCATACCCTCCTCCTTGTATCCCTTGATGAGTGTTAAACATGCATAAGGGGAATGGGCAGTGGGGGAATAGGGGAAAAAAGGGTAAATGGATTAAAGGGATAAAGGAGCTGGAGAACAAGCACACACCTTCGGTGAGGGAGGACACAGGCAAAGAGACCTCCATGCATGCGGCGGACTGGGCCTTGCGGAAGGGCGGTCGGCCGGGCCCCCTGCGGGCAAGGCGTGGCCCTTCAGGGCCCCCCGGGACTCTGGCCCTCCCAGTCGGACAGGGCTGGGAGGTGGGGCTAGTGCAATGTCCATTCACATGATCTGTAACAACGGGCATAGCATTAGCAAAAAAACCAAATGAGATTGAAAATAGAAGAGTGTGTGAGAGAGAAAGAGAGGTGAAGAGGGCAGTGGGATGAAAACAATGCAGCCGCAAAGGAGAGAGAAGCGTTAACAGTAAGAGGAAGCAGTCATATAATAGCAGCTTTAATCAGCCAAAAATCATTCTGATTTGAAAAGGAAAAAGGAAAATGGAAAGGGGAGGGGAAAGGGAATTGGAACGGAAAAAGGGAAAAGGATAATGGAAAGGGAAGAAAAGGGGGGAAAAGAAAAGGAAATGAAAAAGGAAAATAAAAAGGCAAAAGAAAATGAAATAAAATGGGAAAAGAAAAAAATAAACAAGGAACAGGAAAAGGAAAGGAAAATGTAAAGAGAAGTAAAAATACAAAAAGAAAAAATGAAAAGGGACTAGAGAAAGAACATGGAAAAGGAAAGGAAAGTTGCAGGTAATGGTAGCTGTTCAAAAAAATAAGCCTCAGAGAGGCTTTCTCATCCCTTCTCAACTCAGACACTTGAAAGGATGAAGGTGGAGGACTTGATTTTACAGAAAAACAGAAGCTTCCCTCTGCAGTCTGTTTATGCAGGAAGTTGAGGGAGGTCTGGTTGAGTATGCAGGAAAAGACCCAGATTCAAACTCCCTGCATCTAAAACAGCACATTTTTCAACAACACCTCCAACACACCTGGATCAAAGTCTTACTAGCGTCTACCTGAGAGAGACATCCTGTAGCCAGAAGCTCTCAGATGGAAGCAGCCTGTTTATATGTTCCACAGTATCCTCTAGATTATGATTGACTCCTGACTATTTTGACATTCTAGCTGTATATTTCCCTCCCTTCCTCCATTTTATATCTATCAGTCATTTTCATGCCAACGCAGCCATTCAAATCCACGACTGTATGCTGTCATTTCATATCAGTGGGATTTCTACTCAGTCATTTTTATATCACACAGTAGACTTGGCAACCAAAACTCTGACACTGACTCATGGTGCAACAAAGCACTATTAAGAACACCATCTGTAGTACGTTTGAGAAACTTCAATCATCATTTTAAAGACTACATTAGTTCATATTTTCTTGTATGCACAAGTTTTTATAGTACAAGTTACACACTAACATTTATAATGTTGGGGTCAGTAATAATTTATATATAAAATATTTTATGGTTTTGAAAAAAAATAATTAAGCACCCCATCTATATTCAACAATGATAAGAATAAGGAAAGTTTCTTGAGCACTAAAATCAGCATGTTATAATGATATAAGTATCATGTGACACTGAAGACTGGAATAATGGCTGCTGAAAATTCAGCTTTGCCATCACAGGAATAAATGATATTTTAAAATTGCTTACATTTGAAAACATGTCATTTAAATTGTAATAATATTCCCACAATATTCCTGTTATACACTGTATCAATCAAATAAATGATGTCCTTTCAAAAACATTTTAAAAAATCTTACCAATCTTACGAAGTTATGAATGATAGTGTATGTCTATGTTTTATTTTTGTAAAAAAAAATATTGCTACATCAAACAAATTTTACATTAACTCTCATGACACTAACTAAAATCCAATTGAATGTGGTAACTGGGCAGGAATACAGCATCTTCAGATGATTTTGCTGCAGGACTGATATTCTGTTCATGAAAGTCAGAGAACGTCATCTTAGAGTCAGGATGAGAAAGCCCAAAAAATGGAGCCCAGTCCGCAGATGTCTTTACATCTGTTTTCCCTGGCCTGCACCAGGGACAGAGTTTCTAAATGAGCCCAGGTTCATGAAAAGATCCAAACTGAAGGTTTAGGATAGTAGAAAATATTACAAAAGCCCCGGTGCATTCAAGGGGAGACAGTTCCAAGCACAAAACTACAGAGAGCCTGCCTGTAGACACACACCCTAGCTCTCGATTTGAGCCACACACACATACATTACACTCACACAACACTCATAAATTGGCTTTCTAATAAGTATTGATTTTTTATGTCCTTTTTCTGTTTTTATGACCTAAACCTTCAAGATATTTTCATATTACAAAATGACCCAACACCCGCTTTCTAAGTTCTAATATTTTTCCAAGCACAAATCGAAACCTTCGAGGATTAGAAACATGTGTAATCACTCATGGCCCAGATGGTCTATTTTCCTTTGTAATGCTGCACAGCTTGACCTGTTGAAGGAACACTTTCATTATTACACATTAGGTCAAGTTTGGCACAAGAAATTGGAGAGGAAATTGTTCAGCCCTCGGCGAGAGGTGTGTTAGTCACAGCCTAGCATGAAACAAAAAGCCAGACAAGAGGAAAGAAAAAGGAAAAGAGAACAAGGAAAGATATTCAGCGAAAGAGACAGAGTGAGTATTTCCGTACAAGGCTGAAGAATGATCCAAGTCACGATGAGGCAAGCTCACTTGCAGAGAATGATCTCATTACATTAGTGCATGTCGATCAGAGGTAGAAGATGGTCCAATCACAAATGAGCAGGCTTTTCACAGAGTTAGAGAATGGTCCAATAGGGTTAGAGCATGTTCTGAGGTATAGAATGACCCAATTATGATGGAGCAAGGCCTTTAAGACATAAAGGATGAACCAGTCGCGAAAGAGCAAGATTTCAGAGTGATACCTTTCTTAACTTAAGAATGAGTATGTTGAACAAACCACCTTTGTAAACACTTGCAAAATGTACATTGAGAAGCATAATAAAAAATTTTAAAAAGGCCACACGCAGAGATGTGAGGAGGGAAATTTTGCGCCACGTCATGAATTCAAATGAGAAGAAAGTGAAAAAATAAAAATGCATTAAATATGAACTGTAAAATGCAAAGACAAGGGGCTTCATCATGTCATTCTCAACAGGATGGAAACAGAGAAAGTTGATGCATCGAACGCAAGAATAAGGAAAAAGGTCTGCTCGCTTTCGGCCTACCGTACCAAGATCAGTCTTAAGATCTGTGGGTAGACTTAACTTTCTGCCTGGTCCCTTGACTGAAACAAAAATAGGACAGAAAGGGGCAATTAATCCAGTTAAGAAAACAAAACAAAAGGCAAAATAAAGAGATCAGCTCAAATTAAAATAAAAAAAGAAAAAGAAAATCATTTAGTGTAACACATGCAGGTATACACACTGACATGTAATGTTTCGCACGACAGTCATGCCTGATCGCACACTGCCACCAGATAAACAGATTTGTCTGTTTTTAGACAAGCAAACACATGCATGCAGAACGCATCTAAGTTCAAACGCATAACTCAAAATCCATTTTTTTAATTTCCGTTTCCTTCCATGTTGATAGGAAAAAAAAATGCACGAATCAATCAAAATAACTGCAAAATATACAGATTGGATCTACTGTACTATATTGAACAGAAACCACAAAAACCGCACAGAAACCAATCACGTGTGTGCATGCATACACAATTAGTAAAACAAACACAGAGGTTCAAATTAAAGTGCAATCAGATAAACAAAGTGAGGTCAACATTTTGCAAGCATTTTGCACTGAAAAGGTTAGAGTATATACTGAGCCGAATGTCTAATATGGCAGGATTACTGCTGAAATGGGATTTAAAAGAAAATTTGAAAAAAATATGTATGAGTGGATCCAAAATACTAATTCAACATCAGTTTCCAATGTTATGCAGGCAAAGAAATGTAATAACCAGGCATGGTATCCCAAAGAACGTCTCTCAAAGTCTCTATTTATATGATGTACTCCAGAACACTAAAACATGTTGAGCAGAATACTTCCCAAGATGACACTCTCCTCCTAAGCATCATTTCGATTAAATGATTTTAAAGTAGGGTTTGATATTAGAATGTCATTTTCAACAGGGTGCTAATGCTTTTCCACTTATGGATTCCATGAAATGGTTTGATGAATGCAATTTGCTTTCCTATGTTGACCAAAGAGGTCTATAATATCTGGAGAAAGCTATCCATTAGCACTCCCATTCATCTTGGCTGGAGCAAGGCCACCGTTTTACCATTTTAAGAGTCCTTTATGTTACTTGCAAAAATTTTAAATTTTCGTTTTGAATGGAAGATGGTGTACTTGTGCCATTAACTGACCCCTGCTAACTGGATCATACTAGCAAACCAAACCAAAATATATATATATATAGATGGCGATATATCATCCTCTCGCTCCATCTCTTCGGAGTTGGATGAGATTTGAGCGTAAGACAATGCGGGAATTGCTCCTGAAAATGGCAGTAATTAACATTCTGGGATCAATAACCTGTGCCTTAGATGTGGAATGCTTCCCATTAATCTCTACACTGAAAAAATCAATCTGTGCACACATGTGCAGGTGTGTAAACATGAAAGAGAGATCCACAGGAAGTGTGGGCTACCTACACTTTGATATGAGAGCAGCACATTAAAGGGTTAGTTCACCCAAAAATGAAAATTAGCTTGTGTTTTACTCACCCTCGAGGCATCCTAGGTGTATATGACTTTCTTCTTTTAGACGAATCCAGTCGGAGTTATATATCATTGCAGTCAGCGGGTGTTGCAGTTGAACAGTCCACAAGCCGCCAAATAAAGCACGCGCATCCATAATAAAACGTGCCGCAGACGGCTCCGGGGGGTGAATTAAGGCCTCCTGTAGCGAAACCATGTATTTTTGTAAGAAAAAATATCCATATTTCAAACATAATAAACACTTTTCTCTAACTTTCGTTATCTGTCATATGTGGAAGCCGTTCCGGCGGATGACATAGCACGTCGGCGTTGCGTGATTAGTGACGAATGCGGAGAGAGAACAAAACAAAATGCCGGTCACGAATTAGAAGTACAAACCGAGGATTTGCAAAGAAAAATGTTGGAGGATTTCGATATAAACCAAGAGGAGACTGGTTTTCCTTTGCTAAAGTAAGGAAAAGTTGCTTCCTTTGTTCCTATAAACAAACTCGCGAGACTAGCATATCTCAGAGGCGCGCGCGCTGCGCATACGTCCTGCGTCATCCGCCGGAACGGCTTCCGGATATGACAGATAACGGAAGTGAGAGAAAAGTGTTCATTACGTTTGAAATATGGATATTTTTCTTACAAAAACGCATGCATTCACTACAGGAGGCCTTAATTCACCCCCGAGAGCCGTGTGAGGCATGTTTTATTAGGAATGCGCACGCTTTATTTGACGACTTCTGGATTGTTCAACTGCAACACCCGCTGACTGGAATGATAGAGCTTGGAATAGCCAGGACAATTTTTTATATAACTCCGACTGGATTCGGAAACTATATTCTCCCTGTGTGTGTTTTGTGTGTATAGACTGAATAAACCCATGTTAGACATCTTTTGTTACTGTTATCCAGTGGCACAGCTACAATGGCAAACATAACAGCTGGCATCCGCTGATTTCAACGTCAGACCTCAAGTGGCTACCCTGTATTATTGTTTTTTCCATAGGCACAATTTCAGGAGTCGTTTAGCTGCTCGTTAGAACGTTCCGAGCAGCATGGCTTCAATCCCGTTGACTCCTCTGTGAGCCTGACTCGGATGAACGGTAATTTGGGATTGTTTTTGGAAACATCTCAAAAAATGTCTTCTGCTATCCTGCACTGCAATTTGCATGAATTACCGACTCCTTTGCTTTCAGCTCACGTCATCTTCCGCTAATTCGTAGAGGCGGATATACTTCAGGAGTAAAGATGCCGACGCCAGACTCTACGATGAATTCAAAAGAATTTCATTCTCAGAAGCATGCATTAGCATTTTTGAGCCACAGTGTTGTTTTTGCTGAAATAAAATGTCAAATCTTCAGCATCTTCCTCTCTTGTAAGCCTTTCATCAAAAATACATTAATTTACTTCTGTCTGGCAAAAGAATACGTCACTACTTAGCATCACCGATTTGGTGACCTTTGTAGTGACCCAGTATTTTTTTTTTTAAAGTGAGCCAACGCTTAAGGCCATTCACATGCAGAACATTTTCAAAAGTGAACAAAAGCATTATTAGCATATAATTCTCATGCTTGTAGCCATTCTCTCTGCCATGCTCTCGGAGACAAAGCTTTGCAGTCTGGCACATTTGTGTAGTTATATAAATCCATTTACATTAGTTGCATCTACACAACTAACTATAAGTTTAACATTTTTGGTATTTGCTATGCCTTTCATAACAAGTTTTAACAACACTTCATCAATGTACAGAATAACTAGAGCACTACTCATTGATAAAATAAGTTAACCAATTAATTAATTCAATTTTAAGATATTGTAAATGTCTTCAAAAAACAAACATGTGCTCAATAACACACATACTGTACAATCATGGATGGTGGAGCTACTGAGGGCCAAAGAAAAACCCTTGAGAGCCTGCTGGGGTCTAACTAAAGCAAGTTTTTTCTTTTACAGATTTTGTTTGTCATGCTGTACAATATGAGCCCAGTGAGATCTTGCAAAAAAAGCTACATGTTAGAACTGATTTTGTTAATCATACTCAAGCAAAATTGAAATAGTAGGGTACAATGGGGCTGAAGGTGCATTTAATTTAATTTTCTTAAACATCCACATTTACTCTGCATATGGAAATTTGGCTGATTTGTAGCAACATGTTTTTTTAAACAGTTTTCTGTTTTAACTATTTAACAGTTTTTCAATAACTGAATATAAAAGTGTTTTTTTTTTGGAAAAAGCGCCCCTACTGTTGGGGCCAAAGGTACAATAATTGACGTGAAATATCTGGCTGAGTTTTCCATTTTGAGATTAGATTCTACTGATTAGTATAATTTAAAACATATTTCAAAATATGGTATTAATCATATCATAACATTTATTTATTGTTACTACCGTAGTCATATTAAATTATTAAAAAATCTCCTTCAAACAGTGAAAAAAGCTTTCAGAATTTTTGTCTTTTATATTTTGTACTTTTAAAAATGAATGTATGTATGTTTTAGGTCATTTAAATTATTGTTTTTATTGAAATGCACAGAAAATGGTACAAACTTTGCTAAAGTGATTGTTTTGAACAAGTATTAACTTAAATATTATGCAAAATACATTACTTTTGCTAAAGTATTTGTACTTGAATATGGGTAAAAAGCTTAGCACCTCATATATTTGTATGATTTCTAATAAAACCAAACAAACAAATTTTATGATTTTGTTTCCCATTTAATGTGTTGTTCCATAAATATTAAATAATAAATATATAGTCTTTTATTTTATTTTTTGTTTGCAAGTATACATTATGGAAGTACTGAATAGAACATTTTCTTAATGTTTTAATGTCTTTAGCCCTGTTGTACCCTGTGGCTCAAACCCAAACTGGCCATGCCAACAGTGCTAATGCTAATGTTTGGAATGAAAACAATAAAAAATAAAATGGTGAAAAAGAGGACTACTGCTTATTCTAAAGAGCAAACAAAATTTTGAATTTGAATTGAATTTTGAAATTCAGTAAAATTAAAAGAATCCCGTGTCAAGTCAGCCAATGGAAACTACATGTGACAAAAATGAAAACAGACTTTATTTACATATAAAAAAAAAAAAAAGTGTCATCTGACTCTACTGGACCTCAACGATCAACGCTCTGTCTGGGCTACAGTCACAATATCACCCCTCTCATCAACACACACAATACATACTACCTACTACCATGCCTCGATCACACACATGCCTACAATAGCCAAACGTGAAGCACACTTACACATACTCACATACGCACTCACACACACCTACACCTACACCTCAGCAGCACGGAGCGTAGCACAGGACACTACGAGCATAAGGTTACTTCTACTGCAGCATGCTACCCCCAAACAAACACCCACACACACGCAGACGGAGAAGCACATGAGCCGTTGGCTTGCTGTGTGTGGGTGTTTTTAAGGGGCTGGACACATTCTTACCATTGTCCAACAGGTAAAAGACAGGACTGTGGTGGCAGGACCGGAGGTTGGACACAGGTTCCCCTGTGCCTCGAGGGTCATTATGGAGGGAAGGGGTGTAGGGTGCTGGAAATCAGAGATCACACAGTCATTGTCACATACCAGGCTCAATTAAATACAGCCAAGCAGCTTGTTATAGGTCATTGGGATTCATAACAGGACCCTACAAGTGGAGAAAATCACACACAAGGAATTTTAAAATAATCTGATAATAATAATATAACCATATTCTAAAGATTATAAAAAATAATGTTAAAACAAAACAAAAATATATTATTTTTTATATATAATTTAGGCTGGTGGTAATTAAACACTTATGGCGCTTAAATGCTTTCATGCCTCTTTATAGATAAGTTTTAATTAAAGTAACTTTTGGTTGTGAACGTGATTTTGAATCTGTTAAGTGACTTATACAAAGAGCATTTGAGAAATCTTAGGCATGCCATTGCATCGACCTTTGTTTAATGTGCATTTATTAGAAAAGCCAGTCTTGACCTTGGAAAATATCTGGTAGAATTTTTTTCAGCAGCAACTGACATGCTTTATTTTTTATTTTTTTTAATACTGAGGACATTTCAGCACACACAGAATGGTGGATATTCTCGCTGCATTTAACCTCATCAGACAAGATGAATTCATAAGACTCACAAATCACTGCAGGTGTCGACCTGACAGTAAAAATCATGATTGCTGTGTGAATTGAGGCCAAACTGCTGAGGGTAAAGATGAGAGAACAGCGTTGTGAGAGACTAACAAGTGTATAGCAGGACTCCTGGTTATTCTGTTTTAACGATAATGTCCTTGCTCAGTCTTTTCTGGAATCATCTGCCCTTCTGTCCAAAAGCTTAATTTTGCTCTCATTTAAATACTGTTTCTTGCCATTTCATGCAGATATGAACTCAGGACTGCCCACATTGTTTCACCCATCTGTGCTGCGGTATCAGCTTACATTACATTGACTTGTGCTTTGACTTTACCTGATAACAGATAAAAGTAAAAGGTGACAGCACAGCTGGTATCTAAAAAATGCTGGTATCTAAAAACAGGGTTATTATTAATTTGAATGAAAAGCAAATTAAGTGCTCTTTCCAGTCTAAAAAAGGCAATGTAATGAACAATACTGCACAAATTATAGCGATCACAAAGAAGGTCCTTATTCTGTCCCAAACGTGTACAGTAAAGTGGATATACAGTATACAACACCCCATCAGTTATATTCAGGTCTATAGTGACACCTGTTGGCGCAGTTGTGTAACTTTCGTTATGTCGAGATCACGAGAAAAATAATTCGTGATAACGAGAAAACAACTTTCGTTATGTTGAGATCACGAGGAAATTAAGTCGTGATAACGAGAAAACAACTTTTGTTATGTTGAGATCACGAGGAAATTAAGCCGTGATAACGAGAAAACAACTTCCGTTATGTCGAGATCATGAGAAAATTAAGTCGTGATAAGGAGAAAACAACTTTCGTTATGTCGAGATCACGAGAAAAATAAGTCGTGATAACGAGAAAACAACTTTCGTTATGTCAAGATCACGAGAAAATTAAGTCGTGATAACGAGAAAACTACTTTTGTTATGTCGCGAGATCATGAGAAAATTAAGTTGTGATAACGAGAAAACAACTTTCGTTAAGTCGAGATCACGAGAAAATTAAGTCGTGATAACGAGAAAACAGCTTTCGTTATGTCGAGATCATGAGAAAATTAAGTCGTGATAAGGAGAAAACAACTTTCGTTATGTCGAGATCACGAGGAAATTAAGTCGTGATAACGAGAAAACAACTTCCGTTATGTCGAGATCGTGAGAAAATTAAGTCGTGATAAGGAGAAAACAACTTTCGTTATGTCGAGATCACGAGAAAATTAAGTTGTGATCACGAGAAAATAACTTATGTCGAGATCACGAGATAATTAAGTCGTTATCACGACAAAAGAAAGAAAGAAAAAAATAATAATCCATGGCCTCTTAGAACTTCCATAGAAAATAGCTTTAACAAGCCAAAGAAGTCTGCCATTTTATTCCAAAAACATTTAAAATGTCTTACCATCAAGGCAGAATCCTATTAATTACATTGTTTGAGATGTAGTGAGGGAAAAGTGATGCATGTCCCGTATGACAGCTGTTCGACATTGCTATACAACCGACTAGTGTTTTTTTTTCTCTCTCTAAAAGTCTACAAAGCCAACAGCTCCCATATGAAACACCCAGGCACATTTACCAATTGTATGATTGTATGATGAATCATATCACATTTATGATTGTAAAGCGCTTTGGGTGTACAGCAATACACAATAAAGCGCTATATAAAAAATGCATCATTCATTCAAACATGAGTGCAATGAAATACATACAGTAAACACAAACAAATAATGTATTAGTATTCTCCTTCCTCATCATTTATATTTTCTCTATAGTCCTTCAAACTTTCTTTTTATGCTTCAGTGGCTGATGCCCAGAATCTCAGTCCAATTTTTGGCTGATTTCCCCATCCAATCGTAGAAGGCCATTTCCCGACTCCTGTCATTATAGCTGCTTCCACAAAAACACATCTTAAATACTCAGCAGCCTGAAGCCAACACAACAAATCCCAAAGAAGAAAACACACAAACGATACTGTTCTGACAGCCAGCTCTTTACCACAGAACATTCAGAAAATCACACACATGTGACTCCTGTGCTTCACTACAGGCTTGAGATCTTAAAGGAACTGTTCACCCAGAATTGACAATTCTGTCACTGTTGTGTGAAAACAAATGTTCTTCAATACATCAACTTTTCTGTATTCCACAAAAGAAATAAATTTATATAGGTTTGCTAATTTTCACTTTTTGGTGAACACAGCCACATTTCAGAAGTAAATCTCATGACTCCTTTCTTTCTCTCAAACTACTAATGTCAGGCTACAGCTCAGCTCGCCTTCCCAAGCGACTTCCATCTTTCAGGCTGCCTGCTGAGCTGGGAACTGGGAAAACAAGCAGAGGCTTCAACTGCACTGAGACATGAGAGTGAAGTGAGAGAGAGAAAAACAGACAGCAAATTTTGTATTCTTGAGACACCACATAAAATGTGCCTCTGACATTTCAAACAACAACTTCAAAAAGACACAATGCAATATTTCTTCCCCTGAGAAATCAAAGCTTTACTGAAATAATTCTTCTAAATTAAGAGCTCTATTTAGATCCTCAAGGACAAGCACTGTTGTTGTCATCATGTTCATCCCACTGAGGCGATGCAAACATTGAGTAGAGCTCTGTAAACATTATCATATTCTCATAAAAATTCTACACAGGTTATGATGGCTTTAAACAAGAAAGAAGAAACAAAGACATTGGAGGTAAGAGAGCAGAGGAAAAAGCCTCCAGGGACTGAAGACCTGTGCTGTGGGGAAACTGAAAAGAGGACAGAAAAGAAAAAGATGAAAACTGCTGGTTTGATGAAGGTTTGAAGGTTTTTGTGAGTGTCGCTATTTTAACGTTTCTGTCGTTAAAGCTGAAATGTGTGACATTTGCACCACAAGTGGAATTTCAAAAATAATGAATGTTATCAAACAGGTTTTTTTAAACACTCCCCCATCATTAGGTGCATTTCCATTATAGGTTTGCGCAAAACTTTTGCAATATTTTATAAATGTTGATAAAAACAATTGCGAAATGACAGTGTTTCCATTAACCGATGTTATGCGACTAAAACGCAATTTTTTCCTCTTGCAAAAAGTCATGATGACCAATGTTGGGAGGTTAATGTATGTCGCAGTCACCGCACTAGCCTTTATTTTTAATTGAAGGAGCCGTAGACATGTATCTTTAGCAAAGCAGTGTGGAGATTCATTTGCAATTGTGAGATATATTCCCTTTTCGATTTGCCTAAAAACCACCTAATGTGAGAGTAAATTTCATTTTTGCAATATAAAGTTTTTGTAAAATTGACATATTTCCATTAGGCGTATTTTCAATTTCCAATTTCAATTTGCGCAATTTGAATGGTAATGGAAATGCGGCTACTGTTTCCTGTGGGGTGTGGCTATTAGAGATGGGTGTGGTTATATTGGGGTTATTATAGGTGCGGCTAGACATGGGTATGGCTATCAGAACAAGGAGTAGGTGTGATTATCAAAGGTGATATGGCTATTTGAGGTGGGTGTGGTCATGAGTGGGTGTGGTTATATTAAGTGTGTGTGACCAATCGTGGGTGTGGCTATAAAAAGTAAGTGTAAGTAAGTGTGATTATCAGAGGTGGTGAGGCAATGAGAGGTGTATACTACAAAAAGGCATAGAATAAGTATGCAAATTGGAACACACTCTAGGTGTGATTATGATAGGTTATATGGCTATTTGATGTGGGCGTGGTCATTAGTGGGTGTGGCTATATTTAGTAACCGTGACCAATAATGGCTGTGGCTATCAAAGGTAGAATTAGGTGTGATTATCAGAGGTGTGTATGGCCAATCATGGGTGTGGCTATCAGAAGTAGGAGTAGGTGTGATTATCAAAGGTGATACTGCTATTTGAGATAGGCTTGGTCATGTTTTGGTGTGGCTATATTAAGTGGGTGTGGTCAAGCATGGGTGTGGCTGTCAAAGATAGAAGTATAGACGTATGCTTGATTATCAGAGGTGGTGAGATTATCATAGATGTGTGCGGTCATGAGTGGGTATGGTTACCTGAGGTGGGTGACTTGCTCCTCTCTAGGTCCAAAGACACCTGATTATCAGAAAGCTCCGTAAGGCCTGCCGTGGAGAAACATGGAAGGCACAGTAAGAGGAAGAAGATGACAATAATCACTGGGTTCCATGACCACCAAACACATTTGCATGCATCAAATCACCAGGACAAACAATGTGGTCTGAGACACTATCATGATCCTGGAGCGATGCAAGGAAGATGTATAGACATCTTAATAGCATAGAGTTTTTAAACTTTTAACTAGGCGTATACGGTACATTTATTGCCATGACGTGGTTGTTCTGTCTGTTGTGAATATGAGCTGTTCAACCACTGTAGGGTATATTAACTCCAGAATCAAGCATGTGCACCAATACCAACAACAATTCCATGCATGTGTGTGCATGCAGGAGAGACAAAAATCGCATCGATGTTACTCGAGGCATGACGGTAAAAACATGATAAGGCCTGCACTGCAGAAATATCATTTTGAAAGTGTGTGTGTGAACTAAAGTTTATCTGCAAAGTACATGCTTAGCTAATTTTATTATTAAATAATAACAATAACTTTATTATTATGGTCATATACATGAATGCAGTGAAAGCCTCATTTTCACAAATGAGATTAATTATTTTGGCAGAGTCTGTTTTTTTTTTTTTTAATATTGCATTTTTGGGCCATCATGATTATCAGACACATTTCAGATTAAAAAAAGTTCTACTGTATATAAATTCACTAGTCACTTACTGTACAATGATTTTTTTTAAGCTTCTTTTTTTAGCAATGTTGACTTAAATTGGTATTTTTATATTGACTTTTTTCCCTACACAAAAAAAGTTATATTTTTTGTTTAAATGGAAAAGTCATGTCATTTTTTTTTTGTTAGTTTTCCTTGAACCATGAGAACGTGGTCATTTTTGATTGGTTCATTACACAAACCTTTGGCACAAATCAATAAAACACTTAGCAAGGAGACAATCAAAGGTTGTAATTGGATGTTTCGATGTATGCAAATTCAGAATATGTGATATTCTGTAACAATTAATTGAATTACTATAAATAATGCTGCATTGAGTGTAATATGGTATGGTAATTCTACCTTTTGTAAACTTATACAAAATAACACATTTTGATAAATGACATCCCATTGTCTGTGCTTTGCCTCCTTGCTGTTGTGTTGCCCCTATCGGCGTTTCACTGGAGACATGACTTACTCTGGTAAGAAGTACGGATCCGTTTCTTTGAATCGGAATAAAAGTTAGACAGGCCGCGCATGCAAAAGTCTGCAACAGCGCCCCCATGCCCCAGCACCGCCACCCACGAGAGGAGATACGGAGCGAGGGAGGAAAAGAGGAGGAGAGAAGAACAAAATAGGCTCAGAGTGACAAAACGCATGTGACCACAATCCGAGCAAGACCCAGTGTACTGAGGGAGAAAATGAAGGAATGAAAATAGGAAAATGAATCCTAACCTTTTGCTTTTTTTTTTACTTCTACCGAAACAACAAAATAAGTCAGAAAACAGAACTAAACATAAGGAAAAACCTTTCAAGATTAACAGCCACCACAGAAGGTGGCACTGAAATTGTACAAACAACCAAACCAACAAAACAAACATAAATATTAACATAAATAGAAATGACTTCTCTCTTCAGTGGCTATCTTAAAGTGTATATGTGAAGATGTATTTATATGCATAAGTATTAGTATTATGGATTAATTTTGCTGATGGATACCCTATCTAAACCGAATGTGAGCGTCTGACAGCAAGCGGATCACATGAACTTTGCTGTTTTTGTACCCACTGGAAGTTGCTGCATCACAATGTTGCAGTTTGTTGATTGTAATGTAAGCTTTTTTTTTTATGTCGCTGCACACACAATGCAAACTGCAGCACTGCTCATACAGTGGGGTCCAAAAGTCTGAGACCAGACTGAAGTTGTTGGTTTCAAAATTTATTTCAAACCTGGAGATAAACAAAGTTTTTAGATTTTAAAGAATTTTTATAACAAATCACGAATACTTTCTGCACTATTTTTTGTCCATAATCAAATAAGCCTATTATGACCAATTCTCAATCAGCCATGATTAATTTATGTCATGAACCAAAAGGGTCCAATAATGTTTTGGTCACTGATAGGTCTTTAATTCATGTAGGTGTACATAAATTTAAAGATATTTACAATACCATTCAAAGGTTTGGGGTCAGTGATTGATTGATTGATTGAATCAAAATTAAGAACAAAGAAATCTATCTCAAATAAATGCTTAAAAAAATCTATTCATCAAAATTCTGAAAGAATACTTTTCAACATTGAAATACTTCTTGAGCAGCAAATCAGCATATTAGAATGATTTCTAAAGGAAAATGCGACTCTGAAGACGCTATAATTCAGCTTTAACATCACAAGAATTAATTATATTTTAAATATATTTAAAAAGAAAACTTATTTTAAACTGTGATAACAATTCACAACATTACTATTTTCACTGTATTTTAATCAGATATATGTAGCCTGTGTGAGTTACAAACATAACAAAATATAGCATAGAAAATTACTATTAAAATACAAAAATATGATTACATTTTAATGAGGGAAAATTGCTGTGTGCACTTTAAAAAAAATAGGGATGCACTAAATTCAAAATTTTGATTATACTGACATTATAATAAAAAACTGCATTAAAAATTTCAAAATAGAAACATTTTGACCAGTGGTCTCAGACTTTTGGATCCCAGCATATATAAAGAGAATGACTAAAGAATGTAATCAATGATAGAATAAAAACTGAGTGGGACATCTGCTCCTTTCATCGGATTGGAAAACAGAGAGAGAGAGTATAAAACAGTCTCTTTATACACACTGGCCTGAGTGTGTGGGTGAGCGTTAAGACGTTTTCTCTCTTTTTTGAGAGCTTACATAAGCTATGGATCAAAATCACTCTTCGACCGCACCGAACGACCTTTCTGCCCACCTCTGCATCTCCATGTCGGCTCAAAGCCTCTCGGTTTCTAAAGATACGGCTGCCTGAACAAGAGGAGGGAGAGCGACCACTTTGAAGTGAGGAGCCAGCATTGCCGCCTCCCCACAGCTTCCTTTTGATGAAGCTCTATGAAAACAGATCTTCATCTTCAGCTTTCACTTATGACATCTCCTTTCTCTGGATGGTCCGTGTGAGTGTGTATGTGCGTGAGCAGTCGGGGTAGGAGGAGAGAGGAGGGCAGGTGGAGCGAAATCTGTGCTGGATTAGTAACAGCGAGTCCGTATGGCAGGTTACGTTGTATTCTCTGATAGGTGTCGTGCTCAGGCAAAGACCAACAGCAACAGAGATACAACAGACGACATGCAGAGAAGGCAACCAGGAATGCAGTCTGTCCCATGCAGTTAAAGAGAGGGACTGTATGTGTGTGTGTGTTAAATGGACAAGAGACAGACTATTTACAGGCAAGGACAGAAGTTAGACAGCCTGAGATTTGCAAAGTTTGGTTTTGATAGCTGAAATGCTGAGCATGTTTGTAGATGCAGGCCAGCTGAAATTTATTTTACACACTGTATTTGAACATTTGTGGGATTCTGAGACACATAGTGCATGTGTACCTGATGTGGACTGTCGGTTTTTGCGAGGAGAGCGTGTTAGTCGCTGGAAAGGGTCTGCGGATCCGTACAGCTCCAGGGTGCTCATACACAACAGAATGGTTTTCTGCAGGTAGTCCACCACTACCAAACCATTGCAGTTACCTAGAGCCAGCCTGCACAAACACACACACTCACTGATCATACTCAACTATGTTTCATATTAGAAGTGTCAGATATACAAAAACCCATCATAAAGTCCAGTTATGACTAACAATATTTCTAACAATCGCAGTTACTGTATGTCTAAATATAATATGATTATTGAATGTATCATACAGCTTTGCTCAGTTTACATTTCCCTTGAAGAATCTTTACGATGTTTATATTTTTCTTTTATTATTTTTGCATGTATTTTAAAAGTGGGATAATAAAAATAAATTGCATTTATTTATTTTTTATTTATTTATTTTTAACACTGGCCTGATGAAATGTTTGACAAAACAGATAGGACAAAACTGATGCATATAGTTCACAAAACTAAACTGAATATATACAAATAATCCTGTTCAAAATTAAATATATAAGGTCAAATATAAATTCTTAATATATTAAAAATCTAAAAAGGCTAAACAAAAAGATAAATAAATTCAAGAGTAAATTCAAATGAATTCTTTTCTTTATATACATCAAAAAATGTATCATGGTTGCCACAAAAATATTAACCAGCATAACTGTATTCGACATTGTTTCTTGAACACCAAATTAGCACATTAGAATGATTTCTGAAGGATCATGTGACACTGAAGACTGGAGTAATGACTGCTGAGACTGTTGAGATGGTTAAAGGCTGTCGCACAGCGGATGAGAAGTGCAGCACCACGTCTTTAAAATTATTACGATTATATGAGCGCACGCACATCAGCGGCGCCATTCTGCATCTGTCTGCGGTGCCTAGCAACAACTCAAAACAATGTAAAGACGGCCGAGATGAAACGGACCAGACGAGAAGCACAGCGAGAAGCGACGCTTCTCGTCCGGTGTGCGACCGGCTTCAGAACCATCTTAGCACTGGAACAAATGAAACTTTAAAATATATTACAGGAAACAGTTATTTAAAGATGCCATAGAATGCATTGATACAATATTTTAAATTGTTCTCTGATATCTACATAGAAGGTATGTGGCTTAGGTAAGGGCAAAAAATCTCCAGAAACGGTTTTACATGTCCATTTACAACCCTAGGATTTGTCCCTAGAATGAAATGGCCTGTTTTTACCTTATTTGGAAGGGTCATGAATAATAATGTTGAGCTCTGCTCTGATTGGCTGTTTCACAGTGCGGCTCATTTCAGTAGCTCACACAGGAGGAAGGAAACACAGGGAAAATATATATTTCAATACTTTCTCTCGCAGTTACATCGTTGGGTAATTATACTGTATATAAAATGCGGGCATCAGGGAGCCGCTATTAACCCTCTGATGCATGCATTATTAAATCACAAAGTAATATTTTTTTACATGTATGTTTTTACTTTTAAACAAATGAAAAATCATGCCAAAATTTTTTTTTTTGTCAATATATTATATTTTGAGGGAGTTACATATCTGTCCACTGTAGTGGACACCATGAATCAAACGTATAAAAAGTAAATCAATAGAACTTAATGGGTGGTCTTAAAAAACACGTCTTTAAAATATTTACTACGTGAAAATGGTATGAATACACATAAGAACATTCAATAACAACAAGCTATGTCATAGGTACATGGTGCATCCCCTTTTCCTGCCGCCATTTTGAATATATTATACAACAATTAAATGGAATCGTTGACAACACTTTGGGGGTTCGCCAGTTGGTGGTTGGAACATGATGCTACATCTTAAATGGTTCAAAATAACTTCCAAATAGCTGTCCACTGTAGTGACCACGATGCATCAGAGGGTTAATATATTCAATGCACAATCGCTTTTTACTTTCACTTTCTAGATTTGCGATCGCACGTGCTCTGTGTAAACTACAGCGGCAGTACTTAACACACATTTTACAAGATCAGATGCTTGTCAGTGGTGCTCAGGATCTGTAAATCATTCGCCATCATCCTCAGTCATCTCTCCTTACTCTGTTTATGTGGTAAGT